TGATCTGGTGGGTTGAACCATCATGGTATCATTTAACACATTATAATGTTCCCTGTATTTCCTGTAACTAGCATTTAGATCCAGAGGATTGATCTGATGTAGATTCCATCATTTTGGCAGGCAGGCTTCCTGCATCCTTCCTGTGTTATTATATCAAGGGGCATTTAATGTTGGGTTTTCCCTTTTGGGTGATGCTAAGAATGAACAGTGGGTTCTGGCGTCACCAGCCTGACCCCTTCCTTATAAAGCCCTTTGTCAGCTGACCCCAGTGGTGTGAGCACTTTTCATAGAATCTTAAAATACAGTCAGCCAGAGCTGCAAGACATCTGAAAAACCTACTCACTCATTTTTCTATTCATTCCATATATGTTTGTTGAGCATCTACCATGTGCCAGGCTTTGAGGTGCAGTGAACAGAACCATCACTCTGGTGGGGGGAGACAGCAAACAAACACACAAGGAAGCAAAAGTATAAACAAGAGACCTGTCCGGGAATGGACGGCTCGTGCAGAATTAAAGCAGGGTGGAATTACCGACAGTGACCATAAAGTAGTCACTTTATGATGGGTGATTAGAGGCAAGACTAGAGTTTAACAAGACCAAGCCAGCTACTGTGGATTAGATTGTATCCCCCTAAATGTGTATGTGTTGGAATCTTTACACCTATATTTTGGATGTAATCCTGTTCTTAAATAGGATTTCTTTTGTTGTGTTAATTAGATCATGTCCTAGTCTGGTGGGTTCTAAATTTAATCACTTCTGAGTTATAAAAAGAGCAGATTACACACAGAGACATGGTCACAATGGGGGTGTCAGACGCCTTGTGAGAATCATCTACAAGCCAAGGATCCAAGGAACTCTCAGAGCTACCAACAAGGTCCCTGGTATTCAGCTCTGGACATTTCGCCTTCAGAACTGTAAGAAAGTGCATTTCTGTTCTTGAAAACCACCCACATGTGGTATTCCTGTCACAGCAGCATGAGGAAACTGAGACAGGAGTTCCAGGAACTGGTGCAGCTGGAGAGCCAGGCATGTGTCAGAGGAAGCAAGAGGACACCGTGCCCAGAGCCAGTGGGCAAGTTGGCAGAGGGTGGTGGGCATTGAGGAGAGTCCTATTATAATCCAGGCGAGTCCAACAGTGCCAGGAACCCGGTAGTGAAGTGTTGACAACAATGAATCCGGCACCTCTCCCACCCCCTTTGCAGCTGAGAACACTGAAGCCACAGAGAACTAACCTTCTGCCCCAGGAGTTTCTGTGCAGCATCGCAAAACCTCAGAGCATCTTCCTTGGTCACTGTGCCCACTGACAGATGAGATTAAGTGGCCGGCAAAGTCACTCCCCAAGGTAGAGGGATGACAGGAGGGAGGAGCCCACCCTCCAAAGTCATCTCACACTGAGATGACACTGTTGAGCCTTGAACCTGGGCCCTGGCACCTGGAGCAAAGGCACTTCTTCCCCTCTGTGCCTCTGTCTCCTAATCTGTAAAATGGGAGCGGTAATAGTTCCTACCTCACATGGGTGAGGATTAAGTGAGCTGATGGATGTCAAGTGCTGAGAACAGTACCTGAAACCCAGGGTGCACTTAATAACGTAGACTTAGTTTCCATTTGTATTGATGTAGCTACAGCAGGCAATGCTGAGAAGATTGGCTCCCCACGCCCACAGTGTGGCTTTGTCACAGCAGGTGCTGAGACTCCGGTTAATGTCCTGCTTAGGGTAAGGAGGCTCACACCAACCACCTGCTCACGCCTTGCTGGCATGTGGGCTAAATGGAAAGGCATGGGCCCCTGGGGAGTATCTCCAAGGCCCTAAGCCAGGGCTCCCGTCCGTTAGCCATTTCCTGCCCCCAGCTACCACAGGGTCCCATCTCAGCTGCCCGGCCCAAGGGTCAGTGGCTACCACAGCAAAGGCAAAAGCAAGCCCTTTGCCATCAAGTTGATTTGAACTCATAGCGACTTCATGTGCTACAGAGTGGAAGCACTCCACGGGCTTTCTGGGCTGTGGTCTTCAGGGAAGGTCTTTAGTCCATGGCACCACCAATCACAAGCTGTGGCCACTCACATAGCCCTTGTCACAGCCACGATACCCTGGGATGAGCAGGCAGGGCTCGCTGGTCCAGCTAAAGATGAGGAGCTGAGGGCAGCTGCTTGCCTAAGGCCAGCAAGGCCAAGACAAGGCTGACTGATCTTGCCTCTCCCCTTCCCCAGCTCCTGCCTCTGAGGCCCAGGTAGGGTCCCTTCAGTCCAGGACACAGGCAGCTTCCTAATCCCCCATGCAAGCATAGCATGGCCATGGAGTTGGTTCTGACTCACAGTGTCTCTGTCAGACAGAATAGAACTGCCCCACAAGGAGCTTTGATAGCATAGTGGTTACGAATCGGGCTGCAAACCTCACAGTCAGCAGTTCGAAACTACCAGCTGTTCCACGGGAGAAAGATGAGGCTTTCTGCTCCTGTAAAGATTTACAGCCTCGGAAACCCTGCACAGGGTCGCTATGGGTTGGAACCGACTCCACGGCACATACCAACAACAATATAAGATTCCCAAGGCTGTAAATCTTTCTTCTGTAGAACCACTAGTAGATGTGAACCACTAACCTTTCAGTTGTCGTTGTTGTTAAGTGCCGTCAAGTCAGTTCTGACCCATAGCAACCCGGTATAAAGTTTCCGAGGATCCGCTGGTGAGCTTGAACCACCAACCTTGCAGTTCAAATAGCTTTACAGTCTGGCTCACTAACCCACAGCGCCACACCAGGACTCCAACATTTCAATTAGTAACCCAATATTTAACCCACAGTGCCACCAGGGTTCCTCACGCGAGCACACATAGACCCCGACACACCCCCTCAACCTTCTTCCATGCCAGTTCTGACCTGCTGACTCCCGCCCTCCCTCCCACAGAGATTCTGGGGCAATGTAGGCAGCAGATGGCCCACTCTGTTCCTGACAGAGACCTTCAGGATCTGGGAACAACCCCACAGTCTGCTGCTCCTTCTAAAAGCAGGTCTTCCACACATAAAGCTCCACTCTGTCCTCCACCAGGCTTCAGGCAGATTACCCCCCTGAGGCTCATATCCCCGCAGTCCAACCTCAGGAAGCCCAGAAAGAAAGGTTGCTTAGAAAGAGTCCCAACAACCCTGCTGGTCACCTGACTCACTGCATGACCACAGCACGTGACTGTCCCTTTCAGGAGCCAAGGCTCTGGTGGTCAGGGGACCCTTGTTTGGACAAAGCTTCCAGTCCTAGCTTCCATCCAAGCTTCCTGGTCAAAGAACCTCATGGCTCAGGACCTTGCCTCCCTCCTCCCCCACCCAACATGGCTGGACGGTGTGGGGTTTGGACAAAGCTTCCAGTCAAAGCTTCCATCCAAGCTTCCTGGTCAAAGAACCTCATGGCTCAGGACCTTGCCTCCCTCCTCCCCCACCCAACATGGCTGGACGGTGTGGGGTGAAGAGACCACCCAGCTCTGATCTCCCCCACACACACACCTATGTGCCACTATGCCTGAGACTCCACCGTGGTCACTGTGACTTGATCACCCAATCTCTGTGGCTGCGGAACTCTAAGGGCACCTTGTGTACTGAGCACCTATTTGGCCATCAAATCACCCCTGATCTGTGCCTGAGCTGTGTTCCTCTGCTCCCAGTCTCCACCGTGCCTCTCCCAACTCTCTGACCACCCCCAGCCCAGGCACTGAGGTCAGAGAAGTAGGGGGACAACTTCCAGCACACCCCCACCTCATAGCATACATATATGTAGTGTGTGCCACTTGGACACAAAAGCCTTATGCATATGTCCTTATCTACATGCATGTGTAAAAGGGTACACGCCACCCACACACCCCCGTTCACCCTCATACACCCTGACATGCCACAACATACACACTAAGTATAGCCAAGAGTCACTGAGCTTTTCCTTTCTCCCCAGCAGACTCTGCACTGCACCCTTCACAAACACTGTATCATTTCATTCATCTGCCAACCTGGGAGATAAATATTCTTTTTCTCATCTATAAAATAGGCAAACTGACCAGAGAGATCAATTGGCCTGTTCAAGGTCACACAGCCAGAGTGGGTAGAGCAGAACAGTCCAGCTCTGGAGCCTACATCAGCACCACCATCAGTAGCTCACACTCCTTTCCACCAAAGGACCACTGTAACAGACAGATCAAAGACCCCACCCCAATCAGGAACACTTTGGCTACCTAGAACACAAAACCCAACCAAGAAAGGCTTAAACAAATAAAAGTTTAATTGTCTTACAGAATCAGAAGCTGGTGGGGACGGCTACGAATGATTGTCTTCATAGTGGCAAAGTGACTATCTCAGATCCAGCCATTGCATCCACATTCAAATCCGTAAAAGACTGCAAAAGTCTCTATTGATTTTGCTTAGTTCATACTGGCCCAACCTGAGTCATGTGGTAACCCTTAACAACAAGGAAAGCTGGGAAAGTGAACAAAAGAATTGTCATGATTGGCGAGGGTTGGGCATGTTGAGGCCCTGCTAGCCAGGGACGGGGTGGGCATCAGGAAGCAGGAACCACAGATCCTGGAGATGACCTTGACTTTACCAGATTCCTTCAGTAATTGGATACTCAGTCTGGACAGCCAGGGGTAGGCGGCTCAGGACTTGAACCCCAGGGGAATGATTGAGAGACCAGTGCCTAGCGTGGGGGGTCAGACCCCACCCAGAGGGCTATGTCATTCTCTGAGGGTTAGATTCCTTGGGCCTCCACCCAGCTCAAACATCCTCCCCACCATTGTCCAGCTCAACTGCCAAAGGTGCATGGATCTTTCTGGCCTCACTGGAACCACCTTGCTCTAGGGCTACCCAACCCACTTCCCAGGGGCCTGGGCTGCCTCCAATCCCAGCTGCCATCTAGATCCTGGGACTGCCCACCACCTGGAGGTTACCAGGAACTGCTGACACAGGGTCCCCAGGATGCTTGGGGAGGTGCCGGGACAACCAGAGGCCTCAGCCCAACCAACCCTTGACCCAGCTCATCGAACCACCAGCTGTGGACACCAGGATGTCTCTGGGAAGAGGAGACAATGGAGGGAACGAAACCTGTGGAGAGACCAGAAATGGACAAAGATGGTCACCCCCACTTCTATGCATGTCCCCAGGGCTCCTGGAAGGACACAGGTCACAGAGGCGACTCAGAGCAGGGTGTCTCCACCTTTGGGAACCCTCTGTAGTGGGGACTGTCCTGGATGTTGGAGGATACATTCTTGGCTTCACCACTAGATGGAGTCCTGGTGTGGTGCTGCAGGAGAAGTGCTTGACTAAGGTCAGTTGGAGCCACAAGGGAGTCGGTTCAAACCCACCACTCCGTTGGAACCAACTCGATGGTATTCAACAGCAGCAAAAACTCACTAGATGCCAGTTACTGTTGTTAAGTGTCGTTGAGTCCGTTCTGATTCATAGCAACCCTGCCTAGAGTTTCCAAGGAGCAGCTGGTGACTGTGAACTGACAACTTGGAGGTTCAAATCGACCTTGTGGTCCAGTACATTATCCTCCAGTGCCACACCAGGTCCAGTGCTTGGTGCTTCCCAAATTGGGACATTCAGAATTATCTCCAGACATTACCTAATGTTCCCTGGGGGGTTCAAGATCATCTCTAGTTGAAAGCTATTGGTTTAGAGAAACTTCAAGGCTCAAGCCAGACCATCTGAACTGCAATGGCAGGAACATATGGATTCTAGAATCTTCAGGCTTAGGGAGAATGTAACATGAGTTATTAAACCTCTTGGTGGTATAGCCACGACTTGCATACCTCCACAGATGGGGAGCTCACCCCATTAGACGGAAACTCCTTTCATTTTGGGAAAGTTTGAAATTTTTTTCTGACTCCTTGTAATGTCCACGTTACTCAATTCAGCCTTGACACCTGGAATCTCTACCCCAGGAAAGATAGCTCTAAAGAGCTTCAGACAGAACCAGGGTCCTGGTTCTCCCGGTGGCTATACACTTCAGAACAAATCCAAATCCAGACAGAGCCTATAAGGTCTTGGAGGGTTCTTGCCCCCTCCCCAACCAAACTTGATGCGCTTGCTCATTCTTTATCGTATTCCAGTCACACTGGCTGCCTTTACTCCCTTGAGCAGGCTGTGCTCTCTCCTGCTACCCGGCTTCTGCACAGGTGGTTTACTCCACCATCCAGTCCTCTGGTGAACTCCAACTCCTCCTCCTGGTCTCAGTCTACCTGTCATCTCAGTGAGGCCCCCCGTTGACCAGTCTCCACCCCAGTCTAGCTCGGGGCTCTTTCCTACACTTTTCCATAACAGCCTTACACTTCCCCTTCATGACTACAGATAAGTCATGGCTACAGATAAGTCATCCATGTCTGGCTTTGTAAGACAAGCACCAGCCTGCTAACCTTATAAAATACCGTATGAGTCAGAAACCGACTCGATGGCACTGAACAACAACACTCTCCCCCTATCATGTCTCGGGTCCCTCACCCCCCAGCTCCTCCCCTGTCTCTCAAGAGGTCCTGAGCTCACTACCTCTGCTTCCCAGTGGTCCCTGCTCCAGTTCCCAGGTCCTCTGAGGAGCGCAGAAATGGGAGTAGAGGACACATGGGCAGTCAGGTTGCCCAGAGAGGGAACCGATTGTCAGTGGAAGGAGGAGCTAGCTCCCCCGTGGTTGGAGGCATGCAAGCACAAGCTAGCCTGTTGCTTGGCAGAGACGCTGGGAGGAGATCAAGCATCCATTGCAGAGTTGGACTGTTAAGTCCAGAGTATGTGTGTCCTCCCACTCCATCAGAAGCACAAGCCACATTAGGCCAGCTGCGGACACTGTGGGTCCCAGACTGTGTGCTAAGACTTCTGTACTAATTAGGGGCTAAGCTGAGCAGCTCCCAATCTCCCTGTGATCTGATTTGGGACAGAACTTGAAGGGGCCTGGATAACATTTAGCCCCCATTCCATCCCTCCAGGCCTGGAAGAGCTATCTATGAGCATCAAGACAACAAAAAAGCCTGAACAAGTTTAACAAAGACTCTCCACCAGTGCAACAGTGAGGGCAGGGCAGTCTTCCAGGAGCTTCTGAAGAATTCCAGGGTATCAGAGAGCCCTTTGGAACCACCAGGACCAGCCTCCTCGAGTTACAAGTAGGGAAACTGAGGCCCACAGAGGTCACAGGGCTTGCCCAAGGTCATGCAGAAAGCCAGTGGCAGAGAAGGAACTGAGATCTACTCTTGCCACCCTCCCTCCCTCCAGTTCCTCTATATTCGCCCCCCACCATCTCCTCCCACAGAGTCAACCCCCAGAGTCACCTGGAGGGGTCCTCCTCGGGGGAGAAGGGACCCTGAAGCTCAATGACATTGTGTTTCCCCTCCAAGACACCGTAGCTGAGCGTAACCTGAGCGGAAAGAAGATGAGGGTGAGTATTGGGGGTGCTGTCCATGGGCATCTCCACTGCCACTAGGGGGCAGCACAGGCAGAGAAGACACAGAAGACCTTCTCCTTCCAGCCTGCCTCTGAGCCTGAAATTCCACCCGTTGAGCAAGACGAGCCCACCCACGGGTGGTTTACAGATTGTGCAGCCCACTGGTTTCACCAGCAGTTCCGTTTACCTGGGAAGCAGGAACAATGTCTGTGGATTAGGAAGCTAAGGCTCAAAGGTGAAGTCACCTTTACAGTAAGCTATTCCTGGTGTGGCGCTGTAGGATAAACACTCAACCACAAGGTTAGTTGGAACCACAAGGTCTGCAGTTCAAACTCACCAGCTGCCCCTCTGAAACCCTATACAGGGTCTTAACTACAACAACATACCCCTGGACTAGAATTGGGCTTTTTGCAGATCGCTGAGGCCTCTGCTCTGCAGTGTGGGGTGGGACACTGACCCCAGTGGAGACCAGGGGTTAAACACTGTGTGCTTAGAGGTCACCCTTCAGGGTCAAGCCCTCTTCTGCCCTGTACTAGTTGTATGGCAGGGAAGAGTAGAGGAGGGGCGCAGTGGGGAGGCTGGGGGAGTGTGGGGAGAAGGTAGTGAGAGCCCAAAGACAAGCTTTATCTTTCTCTGTAGCTCCTTCCAGCCGGCATTTGGGGACCAGATCAAATGATTTTAGCCAATTCTGGAGCCTTTGTGGGTCAAGAGTTGGAGGGGGCTGAGTCATCCTGGGCCTCAGTTTCCCCATCTATAAGGTCAGCCCAGGCCCTCACAGTCTAGATTTCAGGAGGGGAAGGTGGGAGGGAGAGAGAGCAGAGAGTTCCATGTCCCTTTGGGGGGACCCTGTCTCACAGCCTGCTGTACCTCTCCCGTCTCCACCCACCCCGAGAACTGCTCACCTGATCCTGGAGCTCGGCTGCCTCCAGGAGCTGCAGGGTCTCCAGGTGGGAGTGAAAGAGGGTGCTGGGGTGCAAGTGGCCGCCCAGCCTGCACTCGACGATGTAGCCCACTGTGCAGTCATCAGGCAGCTGAATCAGGGCGGATGTGGCCATGAAGCGAGGGCCGCTGAGGGGCAGAGAATGCTGCAGACACTGGTCCAGGGCCTGGATACCCAGAGCCTGCCCCACTCCCAGAAGCTCCCCCATCTCAGGGCTGGTTCCCCAGCAAGTCAAGCATCTCAGGAGGTCCCCTTTTATCACCCTTGAAGGGGGGTTGCTAGTGGCCTTGCCCTCCCAGTGCAGTGGTGGTGGTGGTGGTTATGTGCCTTAGAGTCAGTTCCAACTCATAGAGACCTTGTGTAGGGTTTCCGAGGCTGTAAATCTTTATGGCAGCAGAAAGCCTCATCTTTCTCCCATGGAACGGCTAGTAGTTTCAAACTTCTGACCTTGAGGTTAGCAGCCCGTCTCATAACCACTACGCTACCAGAGTTCCTTCCCGCTGCAGTTGTTGTTGTTGTTGTTGTTGTTGTTGTTGTTGTGAAGTGCTGTCAAGTCGATTCCAACCCATCCGAGGAGCAGCTGAACTGCCGACCGCAGGGATTAAATGGAGGCTTGGTGATGCAAAGCCCTTATAAATGTATCCTTTCTTTCGCTCCCTTTCTTAGCACTGATTCATTTGTTTGTTCATTCATATGTGGTTGAGCTACCAGATAGGGTGCTAGGTTGAGGATGCAGAGAAGGGATGAGAAGGAAATGCCGCCAGCCCTCTAGTGGCCCTCATTCCAGGGAACAGGTGTATAAGCAACCACTTCAGAGGAGGGCCAGCACTAAGTCACGGGGCCTCAGGGAAGGTGAGGCGGGCCTCCCAGAGGAGGCAGCACTTTGAAACTGAGCTGGAGTGAGCAGGAGTCAGCTAGGTGTTAGAGGGAGGGAGGCCCAGTGTCCTTGGCCAGGGCATCACCAGGATGCACACAGCCAACAGCCCTGGAATCACGGGTACCTGGTCAAGGGGGCAAGTGGGAGCAGAAGCCAGGCCCCCTCTGTTCTTTAGTCTGGGTGCCCAGTTGTTGTTGCTGTGTGTCATGGGGTCAACTCCAGCTCCTGGTGACCCTATGGGAAAGAGTAGATCTACCCCATGGGGTTTCCAAGGCTGGAATCTTGACGGATCTTTTCTCCCCCTCGAGTCACTGGGTGGGTTCAAACCACCAACCTTTCAGTTAGCAATTGAGTGCTCAACCATTGTGCCACCAGGACTCCTTCACCTGTCAGAGGTGGCCCCTTTTTAATTCACACAAAAAAGAAACAGTGATGTGGGCAGGAGTCAGATGGGGGTGCCCTAGGCACAGGCAAGACCCTTGGTCATGTGCACTTGCGTGCTGTAGACATGCCCTAGGAAAGCATGCCCACTCCCAACCAGGGCACGAATCTCCCTGGGAGACCCCTTTTCATCCCACACTGTATGCACAAAGACCTTGGAGCTAAACCCAGGTGACCCTAGGCTAGACATTTGTTTAACTTCTCAGTTCCTCAGTTCCTCAACTGTACATGGTAAGCTAAAACCACATTCCTCTCGGGGTGCTGTGAAACTCTGGTTGAACACAAGGCCTGGCTCAGAGTCTATCTTTAAAACAAGGTAGCGACCACGATGTTGTTGTTGGTAATAATAACAACAGTCTACTCAGCAATTCCACTCCTAGGCCTTTACCCCAAACACTTGAAAGCAGAGACTTAAAAACAGATTGGCACACTACTGTTCGTAGCAGAACTAGGTACACTAGCCAAAAGGTGGGAATAACCTACATGCCCATAGACAGATGAAGGGCTAAACAAACTGTGGTTCATAGAACAGAGTACTACTACTCAGCCAGTTGTTAAGTGTCGTTGAGTCGGTTCTGACTCATAGTGACCCAGTATAGGGTTTCCAAGGAGCAGGTGGTGAGTTTGAACCACCAACCTGGTGGTTCAAACCACCCTTGCAGTTCACTGCTTTAGCCCACAACGCCACACCAGGACGCCCGCTCAGCCACTGGGAGACATGAAGTCTTGACACACGCTGCCATATGGATGGAGCTGGGTGATGTGTCAGTCACAAGAGGATGAGTATCGTCTGACCTCACCTACATAAAAGGACCAGAATAAGCAAATGCTCACAGAACAAAGTTTGTTAGCTGTCACCAGGGGTGGAGGTGGGAGGGGAGGTGAAGAGGAGTTAGTGATGGAAACAACCCCATCGATGAAGGATAAGATGGCCCAATCCATTATTGTAATTGATGCCAATAAGTTGTGTACCTGTAAGAAGCTGAACTGTGGCTAGAGTTGTGTAAAAGATAGATTTGTAACAGTGACCAAAAGAAAGAGAGGGAACCTAGCTGCTGTGGCTATTTATGTGCAAACAAACACCTCATGGGATTTGGTTCCTTGGTTTGGAAGTTTAGGGTCATGGTTTCAAGGGACATTCCAGTTAATTGGCCTAATCATATGCTTACTGCTTCTGTTCTACATGTTAGTTCCTTAAGTAGTGCCCAAGATCTTAAAAGCCTGCAAGCAGCTATTCAAGGCACAATAATTGGTCTCTACTCATTTGAAGGAAAGGAGCGCTGGTAGCGTAGTGGTTATGAGTCAGGCTGCTAACCTCAAGGTCAGCAGTTCAAAACTACCAGCCATTCCTTGGAAGAAAGATGAGGCTTTCGGTCCCTGTAAAGACTCACATATGCAGGGTTGCTATGAGTCAGAACCGACTCCACGGCACACCACCACCACAATTCACTTGAAGGAGTCTTGGTGTAGCATCACAGGATAAGCACTGAACCAGAAGTTCAATTTGAATCACAAGATTCAAACTCACAAGGTGCTCCTCAGAAACCCTACATAGGGTTTTAACACCAAACAACAACATTCACTTGAAGCAACAGAGGAAGAAAGAGAGTCCGGAATATGAGGAAGACATTGTATGTGTGGCTAATTGCTTCTTTTCCCATGAGACCAGAAGAACTGGATGGTGCCCAGCTCCCATCACTGAACATTTTGATCAAAGATTCCATAGTAGAAGCCTGGTCAAAAGGGAGGAAATGCAGAACAGGTTTTCAAATTCTCATTTCTGGATCCATGGAAGAAGGTAGGTGAACCCTTGAAACTGGCTGCACTTCTTCCAACACAGATCTGTTGGTTCTTTTGGCAGCCCATGGCACTTTCAATATTTTCCTCCAACACCATAACTCAAAGGCATCAATTCTTCTGTGGTCTTCCTTGTTCACTGTTCAGCTTTCGTATGCATATGAGGTAATTGAAAATACCATAGCTTGGGTCAGGCGCACCTTAGTCCTCAAGCTGACATCTTTGCTCTTCAACACTTTAAAAAGGTCTTGTGCAGCAGATTTGCCTAATGCAATATGTCGTCTGATTTCTTGACTGCTGCTTCCACGAGTGTTGATAAAGAATGAAGTCCTTGACAACTTCAATCTTTTCTCAAAAATAAAATACTACTACTAACAGGCTGCCCAGGCAGGGAGACCACGCCTTTGTCACTTCCTCTCAGAACACCAGTATCCCCAACACCTTCCACTTCCCCTTGAACACCCTCATCTGGGGCCCTCAAGGAACAGAAATTCAGTGCCCTCCCCACACAAATGCCACTTCTTCCTCCCTGGAGTGATGCCACCATTGGTCAGAAGAGAGTTCAAACCCACCTGGGTGCCAGTCACTAAACCACTGTTGTTCTAATATCAGGGTCCATTTCACAGATGAGGAGACTGAGGCTCCCAGAGATGACATGTGGCAGGTTACCCTAGATGATGAGTTCCCTGAGATAGGGGTGACAGGCCACCTGCCTACTAACTCTCAGAGCTGGTTCTGTGACTCAAAGTAATAGAGGGGTAGTTTCATCTGAGATTGCTAATGAACCCTTCCTGCTGCAAAAGACACACACACACACACCAGTTAACACTGTCCCACCCTCCTGCCCAGGGGTCTCTGTTTACCTGGCCCACGGGGCCATCTTCAAAGCCAGTTTGCGGTTGATGCAGAAGCCAGCACCTCCAGTGGCAAACCAGAACTGCACCAGCCTCTGGGGGAGAAAAGGATCAAGTTGTGGGGACAGTCTAGGGGTGGGAGTGGACCATGATGATAACCAAGCTTCCTCACCCCCACCAGTCTGGCCTAGAAGCTTTTAATTTCATATCTCACCAGATTCTCAAGACTGCCTGGTATCATTATGCCCATTTTAGAGATAAGAAAAACAAGGCCCAAAGCCAACCTTTAAGAGTGCTGGAGTCATCCATCAGACCCAAATCTGCCTGGATTTTGGTTAAAGGAGATGAATGTCATTTTTGTTCGTCCAGCACACCTTCCCTTCTCCCTTCTTCACGCCCAGTGTCCCAGAGGGGTTGCCAAATAAAGTGTCCACTCCTGGAGGCCTCAGAGATGGTCAAGGACTCCAGGAGCAGCTGATCATATGGCTCCACCTCTATCTATCCCAATGATTGGCTAAGGGATGAGCACATGACTTGAGCCAGCCAATCAGATCACTGCCCTGGAATCTGTATACTTACTCTGGAGAAGAGATTAGGGCGGTTCTAGTCCTGATGCCTCTGACACCACCATGCCTCCCCCAACTCCTTGGACTAAGAAAGTTTTTCCACAAAAGGTGAGAAGGAAGACTCTCGTGGAGTAAAGAGGCGGGGACAGATCTGGGAGCCAATGAAGCCCCAAACTCCCTCCATATCTCAGTCACATGGATGATGACCCACCATCGCCACAGCCTAAGGCCCTCTGTGAGGACCCATTCTGTGAGGACCCATGAATCTCCCTCAGGCTTTTGGGAGTTCTCTTCTGCTAAGTATACAATTGGGGCTTAATCAAAGCCTGTTGCCTTGGACAGCATTATCTCCCATGATGCCACAGTGAAAGACGTCCTGGGTAGAAGGAAGCCCTCCTCCTCCTTCACCTCTGTGCAGCAAACTTGAGAAAGTCACCTCCTGTCTCTGGGCCTCAGAAGGGTCACCAGTGAGCACAAACATCTGCTCTTGTTCTGAAACCAAATGGTTCCCCTGGCCTAGAGATGTCCTCTCTTACGGGACTCTACTTGCCAACTTCCAGAAATGCTGCCCTCTTAGAGAAAGGGCTCAGCAGACAGAGACACAGGAGTTCTTGAACATTGTACACACAGAAAGTGTCCAGTAAATGTTTGTTTCATGAGTGGCTTCAGCCCCCAGATAGTTACAATAACAACGAAGACAGTCGGGACATACAGACAGACCTTGGAGATAGAGTGGGTTCCGGGCCACCTCAGTAAAGCAAATGTTGAAATAAAGTGAGCCATACAAAATGTTTTGGTTTCCTCATGGTGTTGTGGGATAAGTACTGGACCGTTAGGTCAGTGGTTCGAACCCACCAGCTGCTCCTCAGAAACCCAATACAGGGTCGCTATGAGTCGTAACCAACTCAACAGCACTTAACAACAACAACAACAGTGTTTATAGGGACTCCTGGTGTGATGCTGTAGAATAAACACTGGACTGCTAAGCAGAAGGTTGGGGATTCAAACCCACCACTCACTCCTCAGAAACCCCATACAGGGTCACTATGAGTCAGAACCGACTGGACAGAACTTAACAACAAGGACATATAAAGGTGACATGCCATTATCCTGCGGTTTGTATAGCATGCGTCAGCATGATGAAGAAGCTGGAGACACTGTGAGAATGACCTGATGGGACGCACAGATGTGAGGTGAGCATGTGCGGCTGGAAGCGGGGATGCTGCAAACGGTCAGTTTATAAAGCATGCAGAATGTGTGAAGAGTACTAAGACAGAGCATGCCTGTAGGGGCCTCTCCTGAGCCCTCGCCTGCCATGCCCTGGGCTCAGGGCTAGGCCTGCCTGATGGTGTTGTGGTTGCTAAGTGCCATGGAGTCAGTTAAGAAGCATGTTGTTGCTGTTAAGTTTCCTCAAGTTGGTTTCAACTCATAGAGACACTGTATAAGGGTTCCGAGGAGCAGCTGATAGGCTGAAACCTCCAGCCTTTGGTTAGCAGTCCAGTGCTCATCATACAGTGTCACACCAGCACTCCCTGCTTTCACTGAGTGCCGGGGTGCCCCATGCCCGACGGGGTCCCATCCCTCAGTACTGTGACCCACCGGGTCTCTCAAGCCCCACTTTGCAGACGAGGTGACTGAGACTCAGGGAGTAAGGTACTTATCCCAAGTCCCAGGTCCCAGAGCTGAGATTGACCCCAAGGGAACCCCAAGTCTGAACCAGCTGGAACATGTGGGGGTTCTGTCAGACTCAGGGGAGAATTCTGGAATCCCACTGGGGACAAGAAGGGCGTTGGGGCTTATTGTGCAGACCAGCAGGGCACTGACCCTGTACAGGAAAGACACGGCTCAGAAAAGCAGGCTGGGCCTCATCCCTTTCCAAGCATCTGGGGACATTACCTCATTTAATTCCTTCATAGATGCTCACCACCACCCTGATTTCACATATGAGGAAATTGAGCCCCGGGGAAGTTCAGTGAGTTTACTCAAGGTCACAAAGCCAGGAGGTGGCAGGGTTCCTGCGATCCCAGGGGTCCAGCTCCAGCAGAGGTGGAGGCCAAGAAGAGGGGTTCCTGGAGGACCCCTGCTCACCTGGAATCAGCTCTCACACATACCTGCCTCCAAGGACAGTATTTCAGGACCCAGGAGAACCTTTATTAGGAATCAAAAGCGATTCACTCTGTGTTTTCAGCTCCTAGCTTCTCTAATGGTGGTCTGGGAAGGAGACCCTTGCCTCTGGAGAGAGGGAATCCCCTGACTTGGCTTTTCCCTGGGACCAAGGGGATCCTGTGGGTCTGAGTCACCCAACACCTGTAGCCTGCTAGAGCCAGGGGGAAGGGAGAACAGTGCATATTTGGGGCATACTTATTATTAGAAATGATTTGTTGTCTATCTGAAGGTCACAGTGAACTGGGTATAGTGCGGTTTTCTTTGGTAATTTTCTAAATCTGGCAACCCTAATTAGTATCCAACCATGTCTGGATCTGGATCTGGTACTGGGACCCCTGGGTGTGCCAACTGTTAACTCTTCTGTTGTTGGTTAGTGGAGCAGTCTGGAGGAGGGTGGCCAGGGTGGCGATGTGGGCAGAAGCAGGGCTCAGGGCACCTGGTCCATAAGGATTCCAACATTCTAAGGAGGCCTGTGTGGAGTCAGGAGGCCCCAGCTCAGCCTCAGGCTCACTGCTCCAGGCTAACTGCAGCCCTCTAAGATGCCAGCCTCTGTACCTTATGTGTCTTCTGACAATTCCCCACTTCACAGAAGAGGTTTCACGAGGCCAAGTCGCTGACCCCGAGACACAGGTTAAAAAGTGATGGGGCCCACTCTGAAGTCCAGAACTCAGCTCTCTCTTCCCCTACCCCACCGCCACCAGGACTGGCCCTGCCCAGGCCCAATGGACAAAGGAAGAAGGGAGGTACTGACTGTGCGGTTGTGGGGTCGCGGCTCTGAGGCATGGATGGGCCGGTTCAGGCTGGGCCTGCCCACATAGACGTCATGGGCTGGTGCGAAGGTGGACAGCAGCCGCAACAACGCTGGTGGATTCACATAGTTGTCATCGTCCACGTGACAGAACCACCTGTAGAAATGACAGGGGAACCTTGAGCTTAAGAGGGTCCCAGGGGATCCCTCAAATACCACCCCCCACTCACAGGGCTAACAGTCAGGGAGGAGGTGGGAGAGGAGAGAGGTAGAGCTAACATCAAGGGCACCTCATGCTCACAAAGAAGATGTACTCCCATAACAAGTCAGAACCAAGGCTCAGAGAGGTTTAGACATTAGCCCAAGGTCACACAGCCAGTGAGGGTCCAATTGAATGCAGTCAGACAGTCTACACCTCAGGAGTCAGCCCCTTCATTATTATACTCACAGGGCCTAGACTGGAGAGCTTGGTGGTGTGGTAGTTAAGTGCTTGGTTACTAACTGAAAGGTTGGCAGTTCGAACCTACCAGCCGCTTTGTTAGAGAAAGATGTAGTTGTTATATACCGTAAAGTCAGTTCCAACTCAGAGCAACTCTGTATAGGGTTTCCGAGGCTATAAATCTTTATAGGAACAGAAAGCCTCAACTCCTCCTGTGGAACAGCTGGTAGTTTTAAACTGCTGACCATGAGATTAGCATCCTGATTCATAACCACTACAGAAGAAAGATGTATCAGTCTGTACATCTGCACTCTTAGAAACCATATCTGGCAATTCTACCCTGTTCTGTAGAGTTGACTCAACATCAATAGCTTTGGTTTCTTCACTGGACCAGGACCACTGCACTTTTTGGTGAGACATTCCTTTCAGGAGCTAGCCAGTAGCAAGGGACACTCCTATCCCCAGAGCCCAGGAACACTCACCTCAATCCACTGGCCAAAAAAGCATTGAACTCTGCAGCCATCTTGCAGGACAGAGCTGGGTGGCTGTGCTCTGCAGAACAGTTGGTGACCACGAGGTGAGGTCCTAGGGAAGTGAGGCAGGGTCAGAGGCCCTACACACCATGAGAATGCAGTACAGAGCCTGGCCTCAGACAGCCTGGAGCAGCCCCCTCCACTCCCATTTTACAGGTGGGGAAACAGAGGTCTGGAAAAAGGCTGCAAGCCAAGGACCACAGAGTTCATCAACAGTAGATTTGAACTTATCCGGACAACCCCTCCCCTCACCCACACTCTGCTACCTGGAAAAAGCCTGCTTGCCTTCTTGGCAAAGAAGCATCCCCACATGCCAAGGGTGCAGTCCTGCTGCCAGGAATCCCCAAGCCAAGGCACAGCCCCCCCAAGTCCTCCCCCCGACGCCCCACCAGGCATTTACCCAGTGTCTCCTGGAGGCTTTCATCCAGGCTGTCAGTGAAGACAAAGGTCTGGAGAGGAAAACGAGGCATCAGGATTCAGGTCTGCCAAGGGGGTAGTTTCAGAGCCAGCCTACAGCGCACCCTAGCCAAGTCTTTCTAGGCAGACACACAGCAGACATCTGTCCATCCATCTTCCTTCACATCCCTCTCACTCACACTCTCCCACACAGCACACACACCACCCTGGTCTACACTAGCCCATGTGTCTCACACACACACACGCCTGCATACCAGCTGTGTTCACACGCTCTTGACAGAATCACACTCTCTTCTACCTCCCCTCATACAACACACACACACTCCAAACAACTAGAATCACACCTTTCCAGTATCACATAGACACATATGCTGTTGTTGTGTGTCTGAGAGTCCATTCCGAGTCATTAGGACTCAATAGGACAGAGTCGAATTGTCCCATAGGGTTTCTTCAGCTATAATCTTCAAAGAATCAGATTGCCAGCTGTTACTCCTCTGGAGCCGTTGTTGGATTCAAACCGTCGACCTTTCAATTAGCAGCTAAACCTTTCGCCAGTGCGCCACTAGCGCTTCTATATACAAGTATACAAATTCACCCATGGCCATCAAGTCAATTCTGACCCATAGCAACTGTGCGCATGGTTTCCAAAGCTGTAAATCTTTATGGGAACAGGAAACCTCATCTTTTTCCCTCAGAGCTGCTGGTGGGTTTGAACTATCACCCTTGTGGTTAGCAGTACAGTGCTTATCCTATAGTGCCACCAGAACTCTTTATAAACAACCATAAATACACTGTCCTATCTTGGCAAGACTTCATCTCTCATACTTTGGACATGTGATCAGGAGGGACCAGTCCCTGGAGAAGGACATCATGCTTGGTAAAGTGGAGGGTCAGCGAAAAAGAGGAAGACCCCCAACGAGATGGATTGGCACGGTGGCAAAGCAATGGTCTCGAGTGCAGCAATAATTGTGAGGTTGGCGAAGGACCAGACAGTGTTTCATTCTGTTAGGCATAATGTCCCTATGAGTCAGCACTGTCTCGATGCCACCTAACAACAACAACAACAAAACAGGGACAGAGAGACCGGAATCAGCAGGAGTATGGCGAGAGGTTCAAATTTAAAAATTGCAAAGAGTAGGAATTCCAGAACACTTAATTGTGTTCAAGAGGAACCCGTACATAGACCAAGAGACAGTTGTTTGAACAGTTGATGGTTTAACATTAGGAAAGGTATGTGCCAGGGTTGTATCCTGTCACACTTTTGAGTTATGGTGTTGGAGGAGAATATTGAAAATGCCACGGGCTGCCAAAAGAACAAACAGATCTGTGTTGGAAAAAGTGCAGCCAGAGTGCTCCTTGGAGGCCAAGATGGCCAAACTTCGTCTCTCTACTTCGGACATATATATTGTCAGGAGGGACCAGTCGCTGGAGAAGGATATCATGTTTGGTAAGGTGGAGGGTCAGAGATAAAGAGGAAGACCCCCAGCGAGATGGATTGGCAATATGGCAGCATCAATGGGCTCAAGCGTGTCAACAATTGTGAGATTGGCCCAGGACCAGGCAGTGTTTCGTTCTGTTGTGCATAGATAGGGTCACTATGAGTCGGTACCAACTCAATGGCACCTGACAACAACAACTCAACCTGTATGCTGTGAAAATAATCTGAGAAGCTGGATTATATGAAGAAGAACATGGCATCAGAGTTGGAGGAAGACTCATTAGCAATCTGCAATATGCAGATGATACAACCTTGCTTGCTGAAAGCGAAGAGGACTTAAAATACTTACTGATGAATATCAAAGAGCTCTGGTAGCGTAGTGGTTACGAATCGGGCTGCGAACCTTAAGGTCAGCGGTTCGAAACTGCCAGCTGCTCCGCGGGAGAAAGATGAGGCTTTCTACTCCCGTAAAGATTTACACCCTCGGAAACCCTGTACAGGGTCGCTATGGGTCGGAACCGACTCGACGGCACTTAACAACAACAACAACATAGCCTTCTGTATGGATTGCACCTCAATGTAAAGAAACTGAAAATCCTCACAACTAGACCAACAAACATCATCATGATAAACGAAGAAGAGATTAAAGTTGTCAAAGACTTCATTTCGCTTGGATCCACAATCAACATTCATGGAAACAGTGGGCAGAAAAATCATATGACATATTGCATTAGGCAAATACGCTGCACAAGATCTCTTTAAAGTGTTCAAGAGCAAAGATATCAGTCTGAGGACTAAGGTGTTCCTAACCAAAGCCATGGTATTTTCATTCACCTCATATGTGTGTGAAAGTTGAACAATGAATAAAGAAGACCATAGAAGAATCAACACATTTGAATTATGATGTTGGTGAAAAATATTGACGGTACCATGAAACTTGCTGGCAAAACTGGAAAAGCATTTGCAGAAGAAAGAAACAAGATACATATCTCACCATATACAAAACCCAATTCAATGTGGATTAAAGGCCTAAATCCTACAACTATGAAGATCATCAATGAAAAACAGGAGCAAATTCTGGGCCTCTGATACATGGAATAAATACACCATCAAAGATAACTATAAACGCAAAGAGCAAAAGACAAAATAGATGACAGGGACCTCCTAAAAATTAGACACCTCTGTGCATCAAAAGATTTCACCAAGACTAAAAAGAGAACCCAAAGACAGGGAAAAAATTTTTTGACAGTAATATATCAAATATAGGACTACTCTCTAAAATGAACACTTTAACACCTCAATAAGAAGACAAATTAAAAAATAGGCAAAGGACAAGAACAGACATTTCACCAAACAAGACATTCAGGTGGGCAGAAAACATACAAAGACATGCTCACAATCATTAGTCAGATTTATTGTTGCTGTTACGTGCCATTGAGTCAGTTCCAACCCTATATAGGGTTTCCTAAGAGCAGCTGGTGAGCTTGAACTGCCTACCATGCAGTCCAAACCAAATTTGCAGTCTAGCCCATCAACCCACAGTGCCACACCAGGCAAATCAAAACAGCAATGAGATCATTTTACCCCAGCTGGAGAGAGTGTGGAGAGACTGGGACCCTCTTACACTGCTGATGGAACTGTAAAATCCTACAACCGCTGTGGAAACAGTATGGCACTTTCTCCGAAGGGTGGAAATAGAAACACTGTATGGCCCAGCAATCTCCCTACGTGGTTTATATCCTCAAGTAATAAGAGCTCTGGTAGCATAGTGGTTACGAATCAAGCGGCTAACCTCAGGGTCAGCAGTTCGAAACTACCAGCGGTTCCGCAGGAGAAAGATGAGGCTTTCTGCTCCTGTAAAGATTGACAGCCTCGGAAACCCTGTACAGGGTCGCTATGAGTCAGAACCGAGTCCACGGCACACAACAACAACAACAATAAGGGCCACAACACAAATAGACATTTGCACACCCATGTTCATTGCAGAACTATTCACAATAGCAAAAAGATGGAGACAGCCTAGATGCCCACCAGCTGAGGAATGGTTGAACAAACTTTGGTACATACACACAATGGAATAGTATGCAACACTGAAGAATAACAATGAATCTAGTGGTTACGAATCGGGCTGCTAACCTCAAGGTTAGCAGTTCAAAACTACCAGCTGTTCCATGGGAGAAAGATGAGGCCTTTTGCTCATGTAAAGATTTACAGCCTTGGAAACAGGGTCACTGTGAGTTGTAACCAACTCCAGGACACGTCACGACCACAAAGGGATGGCTATTGTCTAAGACTAAGACTGTAAAAAGTCAAGAAAAGGTTTTCATTCTATAAGAAACTTACTTTGATAGCTACCATGGGTGGGAAGGAAGGGAGAATTAGTCATTGCATGTAGTGTAGACCCATGCTAGCTTGGGTGGCAGGGAAGGTAGTTAAAAGGAAAAATAAAAATAAAGGAAATTGTTTTCTTTCTCTCTCTCTTATTTTGATCATGTACTTGAAGGGAAACAAAGTATGTTTATTTTCTCATTAGGACAAGCCATTGCAATTTTGCTGCAAATGGAAAGGAAAAGAGAAAACGGGGAAAAAAGAATGGAAAGAGAAAAAAAAAATGGAAATTGATAGTGGTGATGATTGGGCAACATGGAGTATGTAATTGGTGTGGCTCGATTGTGAAACATGGTTGGAACGGCAAATATTCTGTGTATGTGTATATATATATGTATATATATATATATATATAGAGAGAGAGAGAGAGAATCCTGGTGTGGTGCTGTGGGCTAATGCATCAGACTGCAAAGCCATTTGAACTGCAAGGTTGGAGGTTCAAGCTCACCAGCGGTTCCTCAGAGACCTATATAGGCTCTCTGAGGAGCAGCTGGTATATATATATATATACACACACAATTTTTAATTTAAATTAAAAAAAAGAAAGTGCCATGGCCTGCCACAAGAGCACACAATGTGTGCAGCCAGTTGTTGTTAAGTGCAGTCGAGTTGGTTCCGACCCATAGTGACCCTGGATAGGGTTTCCAAGCAGCGGCTAGTGAGCTTGAACCACCAACCTTGCAGTTCAAATAGCTTTGCAGTCTGGTGCACTAAGCCACAGCTCCTTTGCCCATGTTGGCAGGAGGGACCACTTCCTGGAGAACAAGTCAAGGGTCAGGGGAAAAGAGGAAACTCCCAATGAGATGGACAGACACAGTGGCAACAACCATGGGCTCAAACATCACAATAGTTAGGATGGTGCCGGACCAGGCGGTGTTTTGTATGTTGTGCCTAGGATCACTGTAAGCTGGAGCCAACTTGACGGTTCCTAACAACAACAATTCTCGCCATTAACAATAACTTTTTTTTGCCATGAGATCAGAAGGGTTAATGCTCCGCTACGGTTACTAAACATTTTGCTCAAAGAACATACAGATGCATTTTTACTAAAGGAGGGGAAAATGCTGAACAGAATTTGAAATTCATATGGAATCTAGGCTTTCTGGAGTCATTGAGACTGGGTGAGCCATGGAAACTATTATTGTGAGATAATCTCCAAACCCTAAACCTTACCCGCCCTGAAGTCCTCTTTAAACCGAGCAGTAGTTTCACTGAATCAATACAGAAGGTTTGCCTTGAGCATTGAGCTGCTTTAAAGAATCATCAGATTAACGAATGACAACACCAACTAGAAATGTTAATGAGGAGGGACAGTTTGGAAAAGAAGGCTGAAAGGTGCCACAACTTGAAGTAAGTAGCCAATGTCATTGAATTATCCGTGTAGAGACTCTTGAATTGATACGTGTTTTGCTGCTGTGTGTTCTCAACAGAAGGTGAGAGAGAAAGGAATCTCTCTGGCTAAGACATAACACAAGTCCTGGTGTGGCACTGTGGGTTAATGCGTTGGATTGCAAAGTCAGTTTGGACTGCAAGATTGGCGGTTCAAGCTCACCAGCCACTCCTTGGAAACCTTATACAGGGACACTATGGGTCAGAGCTGATTCAAAGGCACTTAACAACAACAACAAGGTGATTACAAGACCCTGCCTTATTTATTCCCTCAGGTCTGTTTTCCTGTCAGGGCCCAAAGTCACATACATTGGCACCCACCACTCAGTCCTACTGCCACCATACTGCCACCATCCAACTGTTCTGGTGACAAAGGACAACTTCCTAAGTGTGGTCCATGAGTGCTGTTGGTGGACTCTTGGCATCACTTCCTGCCCCGCCCCTGGCTGGGGCTGATCTTACCAAAATTCTTTCAGTTCCCCAAACATGCCGCCACTCTCCCTGACCCCCAGCCTTTGCACAAGCTGCCCCTTCTTCTGTTTCTAGAATGCTACCTCCCATCTTCTAAGTCCCAGCTCAGGAATCAGCTCCTCCAGGAAGCCCTCCCTGATAATCCCCCTCCATGAATTCCCCAGCGACCTGACTCTCCCATAAAAGCAATCACTCAGGTATGGAAATGTATCTCTTGGTCTGTCCACCTGCTGGTGACATCCTGGAGGGTCTCCTGTACTGGCACCTGTGAGGGGTACACCATCTGAGTCCTTCTCCCACTGTGAGATTAGCTCAGAGTTGTTGTTGTTGTTGTTAAGTGCCGTCAAGTCGGTTCCGACCCATAGCGACCTAGTATAAGGTTTCCAAGGAGCAGCTGGTGAGCTTGAACCACTGACCTTGCATTTCAAACGGCTTGTAGTCTGGCGCATTAACCCACAGCGCACACCAATAGGGTCCCTGAATTTCCATGGGGAAACTGTCTTCTCCATCTGTCCTCTCCTTTGGTGATGTCATCCAATCTTCTGATTTTAATTAACAACAACAACAACCAGGAGACGCTTACATGGGTACCTCCAACCCTGGGCTTTCTCCAGAGCTCCAGGCTCTCAAATCCCATCTCAGTAGGTAGCAGCTCCACCGTCCCCTAACCTGCAAGTCAACACCATCCCGTCAGATTATCCAGGGTACCCTCTCTTCTCACCACCTCCTCAGTCACCCTGGGATCCAACCCAATATTATCACCTCTTGTCTGAGAACCTGCTTCTGTCCTGCCCCACCTCAAATCTATTTCCCACTCAGCAACCTGAGGGATCTTGGAAAAATTGCCAGGCCTTTCTTGCCCAGCTCCCTGGAAAACTTTTGTCACCATATAGTGAAATCTTCTCAAGTTTGGAGTGTAAACCCTGTGAGCCAGGGATTGCTTGTGGAAGGAAAACTCACCTCTGGCATATATTAGTAGAAAGTGGTGTGGGAGGTGAGTGGGGAAACAGAGGAAGAGTGAGCCCTGTGGTGGATGGGTGGGGTGGGGCTAGGCCTGAGGCTGGTGGTTTCCATCTCTGGGATGCAGGGGGTGGGTGGGCCCCAGGCTGCATTTGTTTTGTCTAAGGAACCCTCACAATGGTTAAAGCCTCACAGGCTATAAGGAAACAAAGGGAGGCAGCCTACTGGGGTCAGGGGAGGGGGTAGCCAGGACCATCTGCTGCAGAGAAGGAGAACTATGGGGCCACCGCCCACCCACCCCCCAGCAGAAAGCACGCCTCCCTGCCCACCCCTTTGTCTGAGGACAAAAGCTACACACGTGTCCCAGCCCACTGCCACAAAGACCCACCTGCCATTGCTGTCCTTAAACAGCCAGTTAACCCGTTCACACCCAATCCTGATGACAGAGCCCAGAGAGGCCCAAGACCCTCCTCCTATCCTGAGTGCAGATGGGGAAACTGAGGTCCCTGATTATAGTCCCAGAGAGAGATCAGCCAAAGGGTGGGAGACAAAAGAGGGGCCCAGATGAGATGATGATTATGGGTGGGTATTCCAGTCCCCTCACCCCTCTTCCACCCAAGCATCCCCTTTTCTTTCAAATAAGCCTTAAAGAACAGAGCTTCTGGACCCTGCTCTAGTTCTGGGTCCAACTGACTGGATTCATCTCCTACTACTGCATAACCTTGCCAAGCCTCCATTTTCCTACCTGTAAAATGGGATTCTCAATACCTACCACCAGGGCTCTGGTACCATAGTGGTTACGAATCAGGGTGCAAACCTTAAGGTCAGCAGTTCGAAACTACCAGCTGTTCCGTGGGAAAACGATGAGGCTTTCTGCTCCCGTAAAGATTTACAGCCTCAGAAACCCTGTAAAGGGTCACTATGGGTCGGAACCAACTCGACAGCACATAACAACAACAACAACAACCCGGGCTCCTGTATTTAGATAGAGAGAAACATCTGATATGCAGCCCACTTTTAGGCAGAATTCTGGTATGGTGCTGTAGGATAAGCATTGAACTGCTAACCACAAGGTTGGCGGATAAACCCACAAGCCAATCCTCGGAGGCCCTATACAGAGTCTCTATGAGTTAAAACCGACTCAACACTTTACAAGTAAAAGCCCTGGTGGTACAACAATGAAGTGCTTGCTGCTAACCAAAAGGCTGGTAGTTCGAACCCACCAGTGGCTCCGTAAGAGACAGTCTTGTCTATCTACTGTTATAATGATTATGTTGTTGCTGTTGTTAAATACTGTCGAGTTGGTTCCGACTCACAGCAACCCTGTATAGGGTTTCTGAGGAACAGCTGGTGGGTTTGGACAGCCAACCTTGCAACTAACTCAGACTGACCTTGCCAAGTCCAACGCATTATCCTACAGCACCCCACCAGTCTAGAAAATTCTAAGGGACAAGTGTCCTATAGGGTAGCTAAGAGTCGGAATCGACTCAATGGCACTAACAACAGATGCTGAGCGTCTAGTAGGTGCAACCTGGCTGACAGGTTGGTATCTGGATGGCACAGGGGGTGGGGAGGGCTGAGGTAGAGTCCTAACCGAGACTCTATACCTACATACTGTGCCAGCTGGGCCCATGGAGCCTTAGTCAGATGTGCTGGGGCTCAACTCTCCCTTGCTGGTCTAGTCCTGCTGGCTCCCCTGGAGCTCAGTTAGCCAGACAGCTCTGGGCTCCCACGTCCTAGCAGAGAAGGAAAAACCCCAGCAAGGCGGGGCTGCATCTTCCTCTCCAGCCTCAGTTTCCTCATCAGGGCTAGGGTGACACAAGACAGGAACGAGCCTCGGACCACAGGAGGCCGCACTCCCGGGTACACACAGACTAGACGCCATAAACAGGAAGGTCTGCGGGGAGGGCCAGGCTCCGTGGCTTCCGTGGGTGGAACCAGAACCTCCCTGGCTTGAGAAGTTGTGGGGCCCCAGGGAAGAGCCTGGGGTGCTGCCCCCCTGCATGGAAAGGATTCATCCAGGGTGCGTGCAAAGGGGCGCCAGGAAACCTGGGTGGGGTGCCCCTTTCCTAGGGGGTCCTGCCACTTCCAGCCACCCCCTCCTCTCCTTAGTGTCCCAGAGACCTCCAAACCCCTCTGAAGTTTCAGTCACTTTCTCCCACTGAGCCAGCTACCCAAGTGGGGGACAGTGTGGGTGTGTAAATCTGCCCTTATATGCAGATTTAGCCCCCAGTGCCCTGGAGATAGCCCCCTCAAATTGCTGACTTTGCTTAAGGAAGGCAGTAGGAGGGAGAGGGCTGGCGGGGACTCAGCTGGTCAAAATACCTCCCCTAAAAGGCACAAGCCACACACCCCGTCACCCACAAACCTCTTGTCATAGCACATGGAACACTGACACTGGGTTCGGGGCACACGAGCACATACTCATTCACACTCTGGTACACACAGTCCACGTGCCAGACCTCAGTCTCTGTCCCAGCACACATGTGCTCCCTGTCCCCTCAGACACAGCCCCACAGTAACCAAGCACAGGAGGTAAGATGTCAGCTCCCCCTGGTACAACCTGGGCAGCAGCGGTGTGGAGGCAGGGCTGTCAGGATGCCGGGAAGGCCACCCACCAGCGCTCTCCCCACATGGCCCTACTGGCCTGCTTGCCCTTCTCAGACCCTCACCCCATCTCCACCCTCAGATCCAGGAAGGAGAGTTAATGCCAGTCCACTGCTGCCCTAGGTGCCAGACTGGACCCAACTGGGCAGGAACAGAGGGAACCCCTGGGAGGGCACCGTCTAGCCCCTGAGGAGCACCTGGCGTCGGCTACGGATGGAGGGGGTGGACTCGGCCCAGGGGGAAAGGCTTCCATGGGCCCCTAGGGCTAAGGGCCACTCTCAGGGTGCCAGTCTCCTGCTTGTCACCTGCTCCCTGGTCCTGGAGACCCATGTGTCGAGCAGCAGCTCCAGGCGTGAGCGGTGGAAAGCATGGGTGGTCTTTACAGCGATGAAGATGTCCTGCATCTGCAATTCAGGGGGCCCAGTGCTCGGGGCGCTGGACTCAGGGGCTACCCACACCTCCTGGGGGGGCCGGCTCCAGTGGTATTGCAGAGACAGGAGCCCCACGCACAGAAAGGTTAGGAGGGCTCCCCCCAGGACCCTGAGGTGCCGGCGCTGCATCAGCTCCAGGACTCCAGCCCCCAAATCCCAAAAGGGCCAAAGTCTGGCTGATATCAGACAGGCAGCAGGGGGACTGGTGCTTCAGACCCCCAGGCTGAGCCATGCAGCCCGCCTGCCGCCAGCCTCCACCTGCTCCTTGAGCCTCCTCTGCAGGCTCTGGGGTTTCCTGACTCCGCCCCCATCCCAGCACAGCCCTGAGAGGCGGAGCCAGCCCAGGGAGCCCCAGAGGTGACTCAAAAAGAGGCTCAGGCTGAGGGGGTAGCTTAGGCCCTGCCAGCTGCTGCAGTGGGGGCGGAGGTGCCAGCAAACCTTCTATGTGGGGATGGAGAGGAAGGGAGGGGCCCTCCAGCCTCTCCACTGCTCTCCACTCCCCAGAGACCTGTCAGCTTGGCTGGATTCAGCTCAGCTCCTTTTATTGTTCATGACCTGCTCTAACCAGCTCCTAAAAACAATTCCCCATCTTCAGCCACACTCACACACATTCCCTCCATCAGTCGGAATTCCATTTGGACTTTACCATAGTGTTCCCTCCTCCAGGAAGTCTTCCGTAATGCCACCCCTCCAACCTCGGGGGCTCCCACAGCAGTCCCTTTGGTCTTAACAGCAACAAGATTCCTGTTTCCAGGTTACAGTGGAGGCGCTACGGCATGAAGCTATGATCCAGAAACTCTGTGACATCTTTGGGCTGAAGCCAGGAGTCTGGTCCCTCATTCAGGTCTAGGAGATCCCCTGAGGGCACTTGTCCAGCTGTGACTGCCCCATGACCCATGTCTCTGGGCAGTCTCTATTGCTCTCTCTCTCCCAGGCCAGGCCAGTGGCCAAGGACAGGCCTTCTCCAGACACCATTTACATGTCGGTTTGCGCAAGGCCAGTAACGGCCTTCTCTGCTCAAACCTTGCACTGGCTTCTATCTCCCTCAGAACAAAGGTGAAGGATTGTACACCCATCTACAAGACCCTCGTGACCCTCCAGCCCCATCTGACCCCCGTACATGCCCCCCTCGGGACCTTTGCACTGGCTGCTCCCTTCACCCAGAACACTCTTTCCCCCAAACTGGCACATCTCACCTCATTCATGTCTTTACAGAAATGTCACCTCCTCCAGGAGGGCTTCCCTGACCACTATTTAAATTGTAAACCTTTTCATCCTCCCTCCTGCTTCTCTGCGCTACATTACACTTTCCCAGATTTTTTTCTCCTTTATTCACCGACTCCCCTGTGCCTGATACACAGAAACTCAATAAATATGTTCATTTGACGTATGGATGTACTTAATGGCTGGTGGATTAAACTTGGCAAGTGTGGGGGAAAAGGAAAGAAAAATCAGCCTTTCTCAATCACTGTCCGACTATAGGTCAGACCCAAGCCAGACCCATTCACAGTGCATCTTCTTATGATATCACCAAAGAACCCCAGGTTGGTGCCACACAGACCAACGTTGTTCATTTCCTGACTGGGCCACTCATTCATTGTGTGCCTCTAGATAAGTTACTTCACCTCTCTAAGCTCTGTCTTCATCGCTTATGTTGTTGTTGTTACGTGCCAGCAAGTCACTTCCGACTCATAGCAACCCTGTGTAGGGTTTCCAAGGCACGACCGATAAGCTTGAACCACTAACCTTGAGGTTAACAGTCCAGTGCTTATCGTATAGTGTCACACTAGGATTCCTTATTATTATAGCAGGGGCGAGGAAATCTTTTTTCTGCTAAAATTTGTAACATCATTCACAGACCATACAAAAATATCAACTTAATAATTCCCCTGCTATGTCTGGTCACTTAACAACATATTTGGTCAAACATTTAAAGAACTCAACCCTGACGTGATGGCCTGGTATGGCGCCATGGGTTAGTGCGCTAGACCAAAAGGTTGGTTTGAACCCCTTGGAAACATTCTACAGGGTCACTATGAGTCGGAACCAACTCCAGGACACTTTACAACATGATGGCCAGAACTGTGGTTGCCTGGGCAGGGCCAATTGATTTTAGACCTGTGGACTGGACGTTCCCTACACTGATCTACAGAATGGGACAATAATATGACTTGGTAAAGATTATGGGGTTAGCGGGCTTCTCCACTCCATGGGCAAGTGGACACCTAATGTAGAGTCTGGGGGAGGTGGCTGAGCCACTGGGACACCGCAGCATCTTCACAGCCTCTTGTCTGCTTCTCTCTTCCACTGCCCAATCCCACACTCAGCCCCCAAGGCAACCCCAAAGTAGAGTACCACGTGAATCCCCAACTCCTGAGGTTCCCACAGCCCACGGGACACAACCCCCACACCCGCTGACTTCCAGCTTCATTTCCTACTGCCCCTCCATGGCTAAGTTCAACCCGTCTTATTTTCCCAGGCAGAGTCTTGCTCAGAACACCCCCAACTCATCCAGAGCGGGAGCCTCGCCAACAAGTTCATCGCTGTGGCCTTGCCAAGGCCATCCCCTGCATCCTGTAGATCCAATAAGTATTTCTTGAAGAAAGGACTCTCAATCTGCAAGCCCAAGTGGCACCTCCTCCAGGAAGCCCACCCAGATTTCCCATATTGAGGTGGGCTTCTCTCGCTCCAGTGCAGTATGGTCTCCTGGGCTCATTGTTGCCCCCACTTCAGGGGACACTCTGATGATGGACCGGACCGAGGGTAGCCCAGCTGTGAGGCCTCCTTTGGGGCCCTTGGGGCAGGTAAGGGGATGCCAGCACAGATGGCAAGCAGCTCCGGGATGAGTCAGGAGTGAAATCCAACCCTCCCCCTGGGCGGGCCAGGCCCTGGAAGGTGGTATCAGTCTCAGATGGGCCTGGGGACACACAGGGCCCCAGGCTGGGACGGCAGCAAGCAGAAGGCCACACACCTCTATAACAGTGTTTAATATTCCAAACTGTGCAGCCTTGAGTGAGAGCGGCTCGATCACAACCCACGAGCCATACATTCTAGTACATTCTGGTGACGGCACAGCCGGCCCCTCCCCAGCTGCCCCGAAAGAGGCAGGGTGCAGGGCAGGGAACAGGCGCCGTGAGAACATGGTCCTACATGTGCTCACCAGGAACACATGCATGTTAGTGCCAGGTGTCATGGGGTGAGGAGCATGACATTTACATGGGAGAACACGTAGGGGACACGAGGGACATGTGCTGTGGCATTATGAATGAGAGGCCACAATGCCCACACATGGAGGTACCCACAAGAACATGTGTGCACGGGGGGATGTCACACAGGAGCGGAACAGGCCATGGATCACAAATGAGGAAGCGTAGGCTCCCACCGGGAGGGAGAGACTGAGCCTGCACCCTCCCTGAGAGAACGTGGGTGTGCACAGACATGCCCATGTTGAGAGCTCAGTGCTCCAGGGAGATGCACGAGGACAAGACACAGGCAGGACACTTGAGGGAACATGGAGACACGAGGTGGGATGCAGGCCCAGAGCAGCAAGAACAGGGGGCGGCAGAAGCTCGGCTCCCCAGGGCTCCCCAGGCTCATCAGGGCCAGCGACGACCTCAGGTCAGACCCAGAGCCCAGGGTCCCAGTGTCTGAGAGTCCCAAGGTCCAAAAGGCTCAGGTGGGGGAGGCCAGTTCCAACGCAGACACCAGGGTCCCCACAGGCAGCTTCCCAAGATGGCCCTCAGGCCTCGCTGCTGCCATTTCGGCCTCTGCCGCAGCCGCCACTGCCACACTCGGCCCACACAAGGCGGGCCTGCTCTTGCAGGATGCGGCCGCGCACTACCTTGGCCAGCTCCTCTGCGTGGGTCCATGCATCGGTGGGCACCTGCACCCAGGAGCAGGGCAGCCCCCACAGCACCTGCTCGGAACCTCGACACTGACGCAGAAGCTCTGAGTCCCGCCAGCCCGGCCGGCCCAGCAGACCCCTGGAGAGAGGTAAGGGGGCAGCTATTAAGTGGGGTCAAGGGACAGAGATGGACAGAAACAGATATGGAAAGTCAGAGAAAGACAGAGAGAGGCAAAAAAGGAGACAGATGGCAGACAAAGAGGGGGAAAGACAAAGAAAAAGACACACACACACACAGTGTGTGTGACAGACAGAGGTAGATAGAGCAGGACGCAGCCCGTCGCCCCTGCCCTCCACTGCCCTCACCTGACTTCACGGACATTCTTCTCGGTCACCTCCACGTGGATGACAATGGGGTAGATCTCATTCAGGACCAGCTCCCGCACGCCCCGGGCACCCAACTCCAACAGACAGTGCTTCTTCTCGGTGGGGGAGGAAGTGGGGTAACATTTTAGTCCTTGTCATACCCCATCCTCATGGAGAAAGAAGTCACTTCCCCTCTGGACCTCAGTGAGCTAGCCCACTCCACCCACCCTTGCAACTCCCGACCCGTTCCCAGGACAGTGGTGAAGGTTAAGGACAAGCTCAGATGTTAACAGGAGCCCGGTGCCTCAACAATGACCTGCAAGGGTCAACTGGCCCTGCCCACCCATTTCACAGAGGACACTGAGGCCAGAGAAGGGATGGGACTTTGGCTGCCCAGCCCCACCTGCCACAACCCCGCACCTTGCCAACAGTCTCCTGTATGGCACGAATTCTGCTACCCAGCCGAGGGGTAGCAGGCCGGGCCTTGGGGGCTCCGGGGGCTGACGATGTGCACTGCTCCTCTCCAGCGAGACTTTCTGCAGGGACAGATGGACAGAGAGGTAGGGACACAGGCCAGTGAGCTGGCTGCCAGGGTGTCACCGGACCCCTACCCACCACCCGGCTCACGGGCTCACCCGCTGGGCACACATGGAAGTCCAGTCGGGAGCTGGGCAGGTCTAGAAGGTTGCGGATGAGCCGGGGAGCCAGGCACTCCGGCAAAAGCACCACAGGCCGCAGGGAGGACACCAGCAGTGGTCGCACCAGGCTGTAGGGTTTGAGCTTCCGCTCTGGCTCTGGGGCAGAAGAGATGAGGGTATAGGCAGGGCCCAGCTCCTCTGATACCCAGAAATCCCATCACCTGCCCTAGCTCTTCCCATCCATTCTCTCTCACCTTCTAAGCCCTCTTGCTACTTGCCCTGTGAATGGTGAATGCACGCATACACGCACACACAGGCACACGCGCGCACACACACACACACACAGATGTGCAGAGTTTCCCAACAGGCTCCTCACTGTTCTGCCTCACTCTTGCCCTCTACAGGCCATTCTGTACTTTGCAGGCAGAGACAGGCCTTTACAACTGAAGTCTATCACTCTGGTAGTGTTGTTGTTAGGTGCCATCTAGTCGGTACCGACCCATAGTGAGCTCATGCACAGCAAAACGAAACCCTGCCCGATCCTGGGCCAACCTCACTACTGTTGCCATGCTTGAGTCCACCAATACTGCCACTTGGCCAATCCATATCATTGGGGGTCTTCCTTTTTTTCTGACCCTCCACCTTACGAAACATGAGATCCTTCTCCAGTGACTGGTCCCTCCTGGCAATATGTCTGAAGTATGAGAGATGAAGTTTGGCCATCTTGGCCTCTAAGGAGCACTCTGGCTGCACTTCTTCCAACACAGATCTGTTGGTTCTTTTGGCAGCCCATGGCACTTTCAATATTCTCCTCCAACACCATAACTCAAAGGCATCAATTCTTCTACGGTCTTCCTTATTCACTTTCCAGCTTTCGCATGCATATGAGGTTACTGAAAATACCATGACTTGGGTCAGGAGCACCTTAGTCCTCAAACTGACATCTTTGCTCTTCAACACTTTAAAAAGGTCTTATACAGCAGATTTGCTTAATGCAATATGTGATTTGATTTCTTGACTGCTGCTTCTGCGAGTGTTGATAGTTGATACAAGAAGAATGAAGTCCTTGACAACTTCAATCTTTTCTCCATTGATAAGAATGTTGTTTATTGGTCCAGTGGTGAGGATTTTTGTTTTCTTTACATTGAGATGTAATCCATATTGAAGGCTGTGTTTTAAGTTTTAATCCTTAGCCCTCAGAGTTGCTAATCTTTCACAGAGGCTCCCCAGCCCATTTTCCGGATCCGGCCTAGGGCCTCACCCTCCTGCTCCAGAAAGCCCCTCCCTGGGGGGCTCACAGCGCCTGTACCACACACATGCATGAAGTGCAGTTATACACATGCCTCTGCTTGTTTGTGCCCCAAACACATTCAGATCCACAATCATACACATAGGAGCCTTGTCTCTCAGGCCCCAATGGGCCCCACCAGAGGACACCCATGAAGATAACTTTAACCTGCACTCACCTGAACAGGCCTCTAGCAGCAGCTGCTCAGGGGAGTCCCCGGAGGGACCCCCCAAGGGCTTAGACTTGACCAGGCGAAGTTGGTCCAGGGCTCGCTTCTTCAGCTAAGGAAAGGTGAGGAGAGGTGGTACCTGGGAGCTCAGCTCCACTCCACTCCACCCTCAGGGAGAAAGGCGAACAAACAAACAGCCACTGCCTGAGTCGGCACTAGGCTGCCCACAGAAACAAGCTGATCACAGCTCCAGGAGCTGTAGGGCATGGCTGGTTTGCTGCCTCTTTACAGATGGGGATAGGGAATATGTGAAATCCTCTTTGCCACAGCCCCCATACTAGCCACACAAGCTTGGCCTTACTCGGTAGAGTGGTGGCAGTTCTGCCTGGGAAACAACCTGACAAAGGAGCAGCACACTTTAGGGTCTCTCCCACCGAACTAGCCACACGGCCTGGAACAAGACTAAGGAGTCACATAAAATGCTGGCATTTCTTATACCAATGCCCACCGCACATCAAATGCCTACACCAGGGCAGACACGAAGCATCTTGTTGTTGTTGTTAAGTGCTGTTAAGTGAGTTCCAACTCATAGAAACCCTGTAATAGGGCTTTCCAAGGAGCGGCTGACATATTGGAATCACCAGCCTTGTCGTTAGCAGTCCAGTGCTGATCCTACAGTGCCACACCAGGACTCCATGAGTTAATTCACTGAAGCCTTAGACTTACTAGGCGGGTAGCATAACTGCCCCCATCTTACAGATAAAGAAATAGAGCCTCAAAGGAGGTTAAGGTGGTTGTCCAAGATCACACAGCTGCTAAGCAGTGGAAGTGGGAGGCAGGAGCCCCAAGCCCTCAACACCTCCCCAGCAACAAGGCCTCAGTCTGCCCAGTCCGCAACAGGAAAGGCGAGGTGGCACGTGCTTTGCCAGGTACACACCTGGGGATCGGCCCTCTAGCCCACCCAGTTCTCCCAGCTACCCTGGTGGGGATCTTTGCTATTCTGCTTGTAATAGACTAGGGGAACACATGCTAGGCACACAGATGATCTATTACGTCCAGATGAAGGGGAGCTCCCTCCTGTCTGGGGGGAGGGCTGCCGGAGAACAGAGCCCCCCCTCTCTGTTTCTGCAGGTCCTCCTGCCCACCCATGGCTGCTCACGTTACTGCGGGGACTTCGGTGCCGGCTGGAAGACAGGCATTTTTCCTGAACTTCTAGGAGCTGCTGAGCTCTGGAGGGAGAGTGAGGATGGAGGGGGCGTGTCATGTATATGTCTGGATACAGGGAACCCCTTTTCCTCCAGTCCCCTGGACTGCCCCAGAGAATGGTGAGGGATTGCAGGAGGAGGGTCCCGGCTCCCAGCCCCAGCAGGACCAGTTCCCAGGCTCCTTGTTCTCTGTCACCTCTGATAATTGGGCACAGTGCCTCGGTCCAGGTCCCGCAGTGTGAGGGGGTCGACCCGCGCACAGAACCACTCCTGCTGCCGCTTGTAGGCTGGGTCCAGCAACCGCAGGATCTCCTGGGCTTTCACACATAGGGCGTGGGGGTCCGTCCGCTCAGGCAGGGTGAGGTTGGCTCGAATGTAGAAGGGCTCGGTCCCAGACCCCTTCACCCAGGCGTCTAAGGCCTCGCGGAAGGACTGGCAGGCTGGGCAGTGGGGAGGACAACAGGAGAAAGATGAGACCAGAGGTGGACTAGCAGTGAGACCAATAGCATGGCCTGCCCGAGGTCTGAGCTGCCAGGACCCTGCTTCCTTCTCTTATAGTGAGTGATGGGGTCACAACCAGGACTTGAACCCAAGTCTCTAGACTCCTAATCCAGTGCTCTTTACACTGCTTATGGAGGAGCAGGTAAGACCATGGGAGGCAGTGGCTGGCGTGACGCATCATCCTCTCTGGCCCTCCATGCAGGGTTGGCTTACCCTTTACATCCACCAGGTAGGGGAGTGTGGACCCCTGGCTCCAGGGTAGTCTCTGCTGGGCTTCGGAGTCCAGGCCAGTGACGTCAGCCCTTGGCTGTGGGAAAACCCAGGCAGAGAGGGACAGAAGTGACCCTCCCAGCTCAGAACCACTAGGTGCAGAGGTGACCAGGTCTCACAATTCAGACCCCTGCCCAATCAGCACCTGCTTCCTTCAACACAACCCCCGACCTGCATACCCGACGCTGTCAGGTGCATCAGTCTGCCCCAGCTCCAGTCCCTACCCAATCAGACTTCCCTGAAAGCTGGCTGGGGCTGATCACTGATCTGGCCAATCCCCAGAAGCTCCGGATCCACCAATCAGAGGGTGCCCCACCCAGGCTACACCTCCCGCCCACTGGGGAGGGGCCTCACCTCTGGGAGTTCCGCTCTAGCAGACCCTGGCCCAGAAAGCACCGGCCGCACCTGGGTCCCAGACCAGCTGTCCCCAAGGAATGACAGGCAGTCTGGGCTCTTGTCTTGGGGCTCAGGGCCCCCTGGAGGGCTCCAGCCAGACAATCGGATGGCCAATGACCTGAGAAGGCAGAAGAGGGTGGGAGTTAGCATCCAACAGTACTTTCCTTCAGTTCATATTCCTGGAGCACAACCGAGAACAGGATCGCCCAGGCCACTGCTTGGAGAACGTTTCCCACTCTTCCTGGCCCAGGCAAGTCTGCTTGTCTTTCAAAGCCCAGGTCAACGTGGCCTGTCCTTCCCAGGCTCACACATACACAGGGAGCTGGGAGCACACGAATTCAGCAAACACGTTCTCTTTTGATTCCTCCACAGAAAGAACACCCTAAGGAGACCATGGCCTCGGAGGGCACCAATGTCAATTAGCAAAACAATGTTCAACACCCTACTCTGGTATATAACGACAAGATTTTATCATGCTCTTTTAAACGTTCACGAGCAAGATTCTTATGATTCAACAGTAAGTAATTGTTATCAAGACTAACTGCGACCGTCACAATTAGAAAGGGGGGGGGGGAGTAGTTAATCTTACAGTTCAGAAACAGAGGACCCTAGGATCATCAAGGGAGAAAAGCATGAGTGGAATGTGAGACATCCAGAGAAGCAGAGACACCAGAGATGGAGGCAGAGATGATGACATGGAGCTATCGATACAGCAGCTGAGGACTCTAGACTCATGGAAAGAGAGGGACTGAGTGCTGGCAGCCAGGAGGCAGACTTGCAAAATGTGCCCTTTGGTTGTTTAAATTATTATATATTCCTGAGTGCTTTTGTGTACATCCCCCTCCCAAAGAAACAGAGGGAAAACAAGCAAATACTGTTGAATGATGATGCACGGAGGAGATTGTAATCATTGCAATGAAAGGATGGTGTAAAGCTGATGTTCTCCCATGTAAACTATCACTCAGTTCACAATAAAATCTTAACAAAAAAAACTCACTTGCAGCCCTTAAGGTGTAACTATTGGTCTCTCCCAAACTAGAGGAAAGAAAGTGATGAAAATGGAACAGAAACAATTAGTCCACTGGACTAATGAAGTACATGAACCTCAGTCTCCATGACCCTGAGACCAGCCTGGTACTATTATCAACTGCTTTGAAAGGGATCACATTAGAAGGTCATGGGAGAAAATTGGAACCAAACTCAAAACCATGAAAGAGACCAACCAGGTCAACTGTTCAGAGACTGGTTGAACCCCAATATACTGCTTCCTAGTTTCCCTTCAGGCCTGGAACTGAACTCGCCTCATGACTCAATTTTTCAGCCAAACAACAGATAGAATAATCAACCATTTGAGATTTTAAAAGGCAGCCATTTTCCTAAGAACGAAGTTTAGGAGGGTTAGGGAAGGAAGACTGGAAACCGGAAACACGGGAAGGAAGTGAGTTATGTGTGGAGATCGCAATCAGTGACATGAAACAAAGTGCGTATGAATTTGTTGGATGGAAAACTGATTTGCTCTGTAAACCTTCCCCCAGTTCACAAGAAAAAGTTGGAACAACAAACTCTGAGAAGACTGCTTGGTGCAAGTCACTTGTGATCGGTTGCTAACCGAAAACTTGGCAGGTTCAAACCCACCCAGTGGCTCTGCGGAAGAAAGGCCTGGAGATTTGCTTCTGTAAAACCTACAGCCAAGAAAAGCCTACAGAGCAGTTCTATTCTGTCTCAGGAGGTGATTAAGAGTAAGGGACCAACTCCATAGCAGCTATCAAGAACATAAAATAATTAAAACACAAAACAAAACCCAACATGATAAATCCTCAGAACCTGCCTTCTACAGTATCTAGTTCTGAATCCCCAGCACCAAACAGGCCTGGCCCACAGTAGGTGACTCATACCTATTCCATCTGCTCATAGTCACCAGTTAGAATCCAACACAGACCAGAAAATGGTTCCACATGGTCATGGAGCAAAAGGGGAGCACACGGGTGGGAGCTTCCCAGAGGACGGGGTCCAGAGGCTACACCTAAGTAGGGAAAACAAACACTTGGATGGTAGATGGAGTAAAGGCCTGCAGAGCAGAACACAGGGTGTGGGGAGACTTCCAGTAACAGAAGTAACAGCTGCATCAAATGCTGGCCTTCCCATGTGCGAGGCATCGTGTTAAGTAACTATTGAGCTAACAAGCTGGGAAGCTCTTCCCAGAAGAGGCAAGCTGCTGCTAATACTGTCAATAAGGAACATGGCATGTTTGTCTGGGGAGCTAGGCGTGCCAACCCACAGAGCTTCAGCTGAGGTTTACTGGCAGAGTGGAGTGCCTCTGGGTATGTACCAGCAGGGCTGAGTGACGGAATGCTGTCCCAGGCAGGGCAGAGGCCAAGTGATCCTGAATTGTAAGCTGGTAACTTCCCCAATAAACCCGGTTCCAGGGGGAGGGGAGAGTAGGGGAGAGGCCAGCTGGAGCCACCTGTGGAGGACACAGAACGAGGGCAGTGGGGGCCACTGAAGGTTCTGAGTGTCACCAAGATCCTCATCACAATACGGTTTTGTCTGTCCTTGGTGGCAGCTGTGTGGCCTGTGGCCAGGCTCAGAGACAGACTGACTAGAAGACTCCTTCCTGACCCCTGGGTCAGGTTGATGAACCAGAAGGCAGGGCGGGAGGGGAGGTCCACACTGCAGGCCTGTCCCTCAGGGCTAGGGAATGAAGTGGACCACCACCTACACTGGTTTCTAGTGGACCACAGTAGGAAACATGGAGGCACAGTGGTTCTGTATGATAAGCACTAGACAGTGGACAAGGTCAGTAGTTCAAGCCCACCAGCCAATCCATGGGGCAAACATGAGGCTTTCTGCTCCTGCAAAGATTTACAGGATCCAAAACCCCATACGGGGTTGCTGTGAGTCAGAACTGACATGACAGCACTCATCAAGCACCACATCATAGGAAACAGGCACCCGCCTCCCACTGGGCCAATCCAAGATGCGGTCTCGTGACAACTTTAGTGTCAGGAATGTGGACCAGGTTTCAATTTTAAAAATTAATTTCTCACTGTGGGTTGTGGTCAGAAATTTTGAGAAACAGCAGTATGGAGGTCATCAATAGGAATTCTAGGGCCAGGATGCCCTGTCATACTCAATGTCCCCATCTGTAGCCACCCACCTTGTTGTAGAACTGAGTTACAGCAGAAAACAGTGGTGGGCACGTTCCATCCTTAGCAGAAGCAGCCGTTTGTTACCAGGTGTGGTTCAGAACAGGTCAGCTGTCTCTGGCTCCCAGTCTCCCCACCTTCCATAGAAAGACCACCAGAGCTGCCCGCATATTGTCAGAGAGCACCGGGGGTGGCTGAGGGCAGAGGCCCAACATGTCCTCTGAGCTCCAGGCCCCACCAGACAAGTAGGAGGGGTGGACGGAGGCATAGGAAGGGTGGGGTTTCCCCATCTACACAGTAGGGTTCTCAGTACTGCTCCCACCCCAAGTGGGTTAGGAGGTCAGGTCATAGGCAGCGGGAAACATCACTCTCCCAGCTCTGCCCCCACTTCCTGCCCACCACCCTGGGGCACTGTGGGAAGACCTGTAAGAGCAGGGCTTCAAAAAGTTAGTGGAAAAATTCCATGATCGTTTCGTTCCTTCTTTCCACGAACTTTCTGAAGCCCCCTGGGACATGACGCTTCTGTTCCTACTTCTTGTGTTGTTAAGTGCGGTCGAGTCAGTTCTGACTTCTCACAACCCTGTACACGGTTTCCAAGGAGCAGCTGGTGGGGTTGAACTACTGAACCACCAACCGTGTGGCTCACGGTCCAGTGCTGACCCTAAAGTGCACACTGCTTATGGTAACCAGAGCTACCTGATGCTTATGCCACCCCAGCCCCAGTAGCCCAGTATGAGTGCATCACTCCCCAGCTCTAAGAGCTGTCATGGCTCCCTATTAACCAACGGACCAGCCACCCCCTTTCCCTCCCCCACTCTGGGCCCATGCTCCAGGGTCCTGCATTCTTAGCCTCGAAGCCTTTGCACATGCTGTTCCCTCTGCCTGGGACTCCCTTCTGGGCAGGTTGGCCCCCACCTCCCTCTTCATACCTTCCCCTCTTTCTTGTCTCACCATTTCCTCTCCCCATTTTGTCCTTGTGGGTACAAGTCCCACTCTGCCCTGTTCATCTTCCCGGCCCCACTCTACACTAACTTCAGGTCCACCCAGGCTGAGGGCCGACTGCCTGTTCTAGTCCTCTCAGCACCCCCATGATGGCAGTCAGCTTGGGGTTGCTCACTACAGCTGAGCCATTCCGACCCCTGACCCACCCCAGGAGTGCAGAGCAGAACTCCATGCCACAGGCTCCCAAGGCACCTCTGAGTGGTCTGACCTGCCAAGCTTTTAATTAGTTGTTGTTGTTTTTAAGTGACGTTGAGTCGGTTTGACTCATAGGGACCCCGTATAGGGTTTTGGAGAAGCAGCTGATGGTCTTGAACCGCCGATCTTTCGGTTAGCAGTCCAGTGCTGATTCTACAGTGTCACATCAGGCAACAACCGCTCACAGGCTGACAGTGTTCTCATTCATGCCCTGCTCCGCTGCTCCGCTAAGGTCCCAGAGGCAGAGGAAGGCAGTGAAGACCAAAGGGCTGACACAGGAGATGGTGAAAAGGTTGAAGGGAAGAGCTGGGAAGACACTGGGATGGGGCAGGCGCCCTGCACACAGCAGTGGCTCAGCAGAGTCAGCCTGAGATGGCAGGAAGGAATACTCAAACTCCCAACTCCACCACCAAGTGGCCTTTTGACTTGGACAAATTTCTGAGACCGATCCTCAGTTTCCTCATCTGTATAATGGGGCTAAGAATGCCAATCTTTACAACTAAAGGGGTCTTCTCATCTAGAGCCAAAGAGAAAGAAGGAAACCAAAGACCAAGAAGAAACTAGTCTACAGACAAAGAGTCTATATGAACAATGTGGTCCCTGCTGTCCTGAGTCCAGAAATAGAAGGTGCCTGACTACCTCAACCCCTCAAAGCCACGATAGAGGGATTCTGATGGAAGGGAAGGAAAACGTGGAACTGAACTCAAGTTCTTAAACAGCCCAGGTTTTCCTGGCCAGTTCAGACGAGAGGACAATCTGAGAGGACCGCCCCTCAGTACTCCATAAACCTCGAACTGAAAGTACCAGATGGCTCGTAAAATCCAGAACGCTACCATTGAGTGCTATGCACCTTTGATTAATCATCTAGCCAAGACCAAGTGGCCAACAATTTCTTTAAAGAAACGGTAAGGAGACAAGGAACCGAGATTACTGGAAAAGAATGATTCAGAATGGAATTTATCAGAATGCCTACTACACACTGTAAAAAATGCAACCGATGTTGTTGAACAATCTGGGCAGTAATTGTTCAATGAGAACCTAATTTGCTATGTAAACTTTCACCAAAAAAAAACTATTTCACTGGAAAAACCTTTCACAATAAGAATTTTTTTAAAAAACAAAACAAAACAAAGCCCAGTCTTAAAGGCTGCTCTGAGCGGTAAACAACAGCCGTATGGAGTCCTGGAGTGGTGTCACAGGATAAGCACATCACCACAAGGTTAGTAGTTCAAACTCATCATCCGCTTCTTGGAAATTCTATACAAAGTCACTATGAGTTGGAACTGACTTGACGGCACTTAACAACAACAATATTAGTAATAGCTAAATGTTAACATGGGAGCAGAGTGGCTCTGTAAGCACTGGTTTGTGAACCACAAGGTCAGTGGTTCGAGTCCACCAGCTGCTCCACAGGAGACAGATGAGACTTTCTGTTCCCTTGGAAATCCTATAACATCACTGAATTGGAACTGACACGGTAACACTTAACAACAAACACTAACATGCATCTACCACCCACTATGCTGAGTCCTGGAGTCATGTTGTGGCGTTGCAGGTTAATGCACTGGACCGCAGGGTCAGCGGTTCAAGCTCCCCAGTCGCTCCTTGGAAACCCTATACAGGGTTGTTATGCACTGTAACCGAGTGGAGCAACATGCGGAGTCCTGGTATAGCGCTATAGAATAAGCACTGCACTGCAAGGTCAGTGTGAACCACAAGGTTGGCGGTTCAAACTCACCAGCAGCTCCTCGGAAACCCTGCACAGGGTCACTATGAGTGGGAACTGACTTGATGGCACTAAGTAACACCACCAATCAGGAAGAAGAGCCCAGGGAGTCATGGTGTGGCACTGTAAGATCAGCACTGGACCGCTAACCACAAAACTGAGGGTTCAAACCCACCAGCTGCTCTTTGGAAACCTTATGAGTCAGAAATGATATGACGGCACTTAATAAAATACCAAACGAGGAGCTCTAGTGACATACTGGGCTAGTAACCACAAGGTCAGCAGTTCGAATCCACCAGCCACTCCACAGGAAAAAGAGGTGGCTTTCAGCTCCCGTAAAGAGTTACAGCCTCAGAAAGTCTATACACAAAGTCACTATGAGTCAGAACTGACTCAATGGCAGTGTTTGTTTGTTTTTTACGAACTAGGCAAAGAGCCCAAGTGGCACAATGGTTAAGCACTCGGCCACTCACTGAAATATCGGTGGTTCAAACCCACCTGGTGGTTTAGCAGGAAGGAAGCCGCGTTGGTCTGCCCTTTGTGGGGCAGTTCCACTCTGTCTACAGGGTCACTGTGAGCCTTGGGAGTGTAGTGGGTTACAAGTTGGGCTACTAACCACAAGGTCAGCAGTTCAAACCTACCACCATTCTTCAGGAGAAAGATGAGACTTTCTGCTCCCATAAAGACGTACAGCCTGGGAAACCCCACACAGGGTCACTATGAGTCGGAACCGATTCCACAGCACCCCACCACCACCACCCACCATGAGTCAGGCACCTTGGATGGAACACTGGAACCCCCACAAGGACCCCAGGACAGTCCCATTCTACAGAGCAGGTAACTGAACTAGGAAGTTCTAAGTGACAGAGCCAAGATTTCAGTCCACAGTCTACAGTCATCACTGCGCCCATGACACGTGAGAGTCCCACCGGGGCACCAGCAGTTAGGACCCTGACCTCTCTGTCTGTCTGCCCACCTCCTTCTCTCTCAGCCCAC